TGGCAGTGGATACAACAGACTTGGTGAGAATGATGACACCGGTGACGTGGCGAAGGAATATGATAGCAAGAAAATAAAGGAGCGGAGATATGATCATGCAGGGGGGTATCCCAAAACTTCCGCAAGCAAGAACGACTTTATATGGAGGCCACTCAAGAATGAGGGCGAGATTGTTGGTGGAATATGGGTGAGGGCCGACTCGAGGTTTAGGCCCCGAATGCTGAGAGGCATGACGGCGACTGTCCTGGAGAGTGCGCTGGTGTTTGAGAACGGGGTGATACGGACGCCTGGTCAGTATGCTTGGTGGTGGCTTGAGACTCGCAAAGGGATAGGATAATCGCAGACGCACGAACGAACGTGATGGACAGCGAAACGTGTCGGAGGCAATCAGGGCCGGTGTATGATACAAGCAGGACTTGATATCAGCGTCTTCTTCGTCTTCGTTGCCCAGAGAATTAATACAGGTGCGTCCTGCTGAGTCGATATAATATTCGGATGGCTTCCAATGGATAGCGTTGATAGCGAATGTGGCGGTTCTAGGTTTCGCTTATCGGGGGGCGAATCTGTCATTGTTGAGAGTGCTATCTGCTGATGCCTGGCTTGGATGATATGTCGGCTATGGCGCTTGGTACGTCACGGACCAGATGATTTGAGCGTGGTGGTATCGTCAAGTCTTGCTTATTAGGGGATGGTATGAAATCCTCCATTGTGATATTTTGCAGAGTTTTGTATATCGGGGGGAACTACGGCGGATACGGTGATGACGAGAGGGCGGTGATACCATCAAGTTTTGCTTGGTGGAAGATAATACAAAATCCCTCGGGTCAAGATCGTTCAGCAGGAAAGTCGGATGAATGGTGTGTGGATGAACTGGCCGCCGGAGTTGGGTATATGATATTCGCTGGATGTATATGATACTCAGTTTTTGATTTTCAAGAGGGTTGGCCCCGGATGCGGTTCTGCGTATCGTGTGAGCTATAAGGTCCACGCGAAGTGAGATGGGACAAATCGCTTGTGGAAATTGCGGATGGAGAGAGGTATACGTCGAGCTGAAGCGAAGTACGCGGGGGGAATATAGCACTATGCATGGAGGATGGTGTGCGACTCCGCGGCGTAGGAGACGACAAGATAATATGTCTTCGCATGGTCCACCTTTCAAGTTGTGCACGATGGAATATGGGATCCTCTGTCTTGCATTTTGTCCTTACAGGTGGTGCGAGACGCAGCGCCGACGGAAAGCGTTTGACGCTGCGAGGTGTGACAAGTGGAATGAAGTACGCTCTTGGAGGGAGTGGAATGTCGTCCGCATTGATGGAATATGGATACGTCTGGATAGAAGATTTGGAGTCCATGTTTATGATTTGGGAAAGGGACAGGAGAATTACATAGCGGCTGACGATCGTACCAATGCCGAGGAGGACGAGAAGAATGGAGGCGAATAAGCACCCTCAGGTGCTGGAACGAACATGCGTGCAAGCTGGGAGACGAAGCTCGAGAAGGGCGATGTTTCTAAGTCTTGCTTATCGGGGGGCGAATCTGTCATTGGTGGGAGTGCGATTGCGTTGGTTTTGCTTATATCGCGGTGTGAGAGGCTTGGATGATATATCGGCTCTGTCGAATCGAATGGCGGAATAGCGCATATGATAGCCGAAGAGCGGACCAGGATATCCATCGATCAAAGTTGCTCAGCAAGGATGATGGTGGGAACGCTTGGCGTCAAAGAGGAGTACGCAGTGCAGAGCTTTATCGTCCAGCCCTACAATGACCCAAGCGTATACTGAGTGAAGTACCTTGCTGCCTGGATATTGCAGGTAGACATGTAGAACGCGGAGCTTTGCTGCCAGGATACTCCAAGAAGGGAATACGGCGCGGAGAGCATTGCTGTCTGGATACGTCAGGAAGGGCTTCTCCAGGTTGGAAGGTAAAGGATAATAAGGCAAGGACGAAGGCTGATAAGAAGAGGCAACGCAGAGAAACCTGATGATATGGGCGCGTACCACGCATATGGAGATAGTTGCGTTTCGGAGCATAAGGTGAGGACAGCAGCCATGGGAAGATCGTAATATGCGGCTCCCAAGATGAACGACGCTGTCCCGATTTGATACTGGACTGTTTTGGGCCTTCCTGCGCAAATTCTCCAGTATTTTGCCCACCTGGACAAGCTTGACGTTCTCTGCGGGACATACCTTGTCATCCTAAACCATGCAGGAGCGGCTCCCAAGATGAACGACGCTGTCCCGATTTGATACAGGACTGTTTTGGGCTTTCCCACGCAAATTCTTCGGGATTTTGCCCACCTGGACAAGCTTGACGTTCTCTGCGGGACATACCTTGTCATCCTAAACCATGCAGGAGCGGCGCCCAAGATGAACGACGCTGTCCCGATTTGATACAGGATTGTCTTGGACCTTCCTACGCAAATTCTCCGGAATGTTGCCTACCTGAACAAGCTTAATATTCTCCGCGCGACTTATCGTGTCATCCTAAACCACGCGGAAGTGGCCCTCATGTTCAACCCTCTGCCACCAGTAGGCTGAAAAGCGTGCGCCAAAATGGCACACAACGTAGGCGAAGAGGCGTCCAGCGTGCCTGAAAAGCAATAAGCCTTGGTCTGAAGGCTTGACTTTGACTCGCTTATGGGCGGCTTTGAAGTCTAGGGCAGCTCCTTGGGAGGCGTATTTGGCTTGAAGGAGGCCCTGACGTCTGCAGATGTGGGCAAGCAGACGCGTTCAGGCAATGTGCAAAGTGGGTTTACATTGCAAACTGAGCTGTCTAGGACCATCCTCGGCCTGAACCACGTTGAGCTTGCCGATGGCAATGCCTTTGGGCCAACGTAGGCGTGCGGCGGCCTCGCCCCCGTGGACTTCTGCTACCCATCCCTGGGCGATCTCCTCGTCAATGAGCTGCTGGAGTAGGCCAGGTTGGGCTTCGGCGTTCTTCCAGTTGGAGTGTCTAGTGGGTGCCCCCCGTCAACGGAGGGCCACTGATGTCATGTAAGCGGAGTCGGCGGAGTCCTTCCAAAGTGGAATTCCCCTTAGAACGGCAGCGGAGTCGAGGTGAGCCCGTTTTAAGTATACAATGGTTTTTAAACCGGGGAAGACACGACTCCGCGACATGTGTACCATCCCTCGTGCACCAATCCTGCAACATCTACGCTAAGATTCTATGGGGTGGGGGGTAATCTTGCTTCCTGAATCACGTTTAAGAACTGCAAAGCTGCGCAAAAGTTGCTCTCCGTGTTCACTGCAAGTGACCTGAAGAAATCTCACAAATCCCACCTGACATCGTGCCCAGTTTATGCGCCCCAAACTGACGCATTTTTTGAGACGTCCAGCGCAGTCCCCCTGGGTATCAGGCCGCGCGCAGCGCGGAGCTCGGAGCAGCTACGGCCCCCAAGGCTGCTTGACGGTCTGCAGCCAACCGCGCGTCGAGTGTGAATGTCCAGGGGCCTTTTCTAAGAGCCCCGCGCAGCGGCCGATTTTTTTGGACAGCACAATGAGCAGGTTTACCCCGTGACTACACCTGATGCGGGACCCACAGCAAAGTGTTCGTCGCGAGTAAGGCTTAAGCCTCCTCTGTGGGCTGTTCTTCCGACTGTACATCGAGCCAGACAAGCAAACACCCGAAAGAGCCTCAGCTGCAGGCTGCCAGTGAGCAGTTGCTCCCTGAACTCTGGCGGTTCCTGCCGATAAGCAGTTACCCCAGAAGATCAGGGACTAAAGCTCTCCTGCCGGCCCGGGAAGCTAGCAGAGGGTCGAAGGCACCAACTCTCTCATAGACAGAAACGCCCACACCGCGCCACAACACAGCTGAGAGGATCGAGGATCTAAGTTTGAGGAGTGTCGTTCTAGAGGCCTCAGTTCCAAAACTGCATCAGAGTGCAGTTTCAGGTCTCACAGTAGCATCGCTGCAGCCGATTTTGAGGCCAGAAAATTTGCTCGTAATCGGAATCGCAACAGGATGCAGTTCTGAGGCTGCGGAGTTGTGGAGTTCCACGCTGTTACACTCCACAACTCCGCAGCCTCAGAACTGCATCCTGTTGCGATTCCTCCCTCGCAAATTTTCTGGCCTCAAAATCGGCTGCAGCGATGCTACTGTGAGACCTGAAACTGCACTCTGATGCAGTTTTGGAACTGAGGCCTCTAGAACGACACTCCTCAAACTTAGATCCTCGATCCTCTCAGCTGTGTTGTGGCGCGGTGTGGGCGTTTCTGTCTATGAGAGAGGTGTTTTTTTTGCAGCCATGATGCGACAAAAATGCTCCGTGATGATTTCATGATGCGACAAAATGCTTTCATGATGCGAGAAAAACGCTTCGAAAATGCATGCGCAACGCGTGCACTTTGCATGCCGCGAAACGCGTTTGCTTATGCACGCCGCGAAACGCGTTCACTTTGCATGCATTTTGCGTGACGCGTTTATATGTGCACGTAAACTCATTTGCACACGCGAAAACGCGGCGCGAAACATGCATTTGTTGTTGTCGACAATAAATTTGTCGACAGGTAGGGGTACAGGTAGGGGTACAGGTAGGGGTACAGGTTGTCGACAATAAAATTGTCGACAGGTAGGGGTACAGGTAGGGGTACAGGTAGGGGTACAGGTAGGGGTACAGGTTGTCGACAATAAATTTGTCGACGGGTAGGGGTACAGGTAGGGGTACAGGTAGGGGTACAGGTAGGGGACAGGTAGGGGTACAGGTAGGGGTACAGGTCGGGGTACAGGGGGCGCGGTGGCGCGGTGCGGCGGTGCGGCGCGGTGCGGTGGCGCGGTGGGCACGCGGGGGAGATGGGGAGCTCGGGCCGAGAACGGTGCGGTGCGGTGGTGCGGTGCGGTGGTGCGCTGCGGTGGGCATGCGGGGGAGATGGGGAGCTCGGGCCGAGAACGGTGCGGTGCGGTGGTGCGGTGCGGTGGTGCGCTGCGGTGGGCATGCGGGGGAGATGGGGAGCTTTTTGGCGTCTTCGGCCATCCCGGTAATTCCCGGGATGGCTCCGCGGGTCTCAGATCACGCTCAGGAGCTCCGCGCCCGTGGCCCGCGACGCGCCCACGTACAGGTGCTTCACGGAGAAGTGCGGGTTCTCGGCGTCGCAAAGGTAAACGCGCCCCCGCAGCGTGAGGCCCTGGCAGGAGGCGTACGTGACCGCGTGGCAGAGCCGCGTGTGCCGCAGCAGCTCCGCGGGCGCGAAGCTCTGCCCGTCGTCCAGCGAGATCCGCTCCCCCACCTCCCGCACCGTCGCGAAGCAGCCCTTGGGCACCCTGCCGCCCGCGCCCACGAGCCTCAGTCCCGGCCACACGCGCATGGTCTGCGGCTGGTTCGTCCCCGCCGGCCCCGTGCCGTGGTGCTCGATCAGCAGCGCATCGGGCGGCGCGAGCCGCCGGTTCTCCCGGTCGTTGATGGCCATGCGGTGGGCGTGGGAGATGACCAGGCAGGTGTCGGGGCGGCCCCGCCGCGGGAACAGCTCCCGCGCCGCCTGCACGGCCTCCCGCAGCGGCGGCTGCTCCGGCTCGTCCACGCGAAGCCACCGCAGGAAGCGGAAGATCGTCTCGTCGCTGCGCTGATTCTCCGTGAGCTCGTGCACACAGCCTCCCGCCAGGTCGTGCAGCAGCTGCGAGTCCTTCAGCGAGCGCAGCACGGGCGCTCCCCCGAAGGCGTCCTGCACGGCGGGCAGCTGCCGGAAGTCGCCCAGCAGCAAGAAGCGCACCCGACGGTTGGTGGAGAGCTCAGCGATGTCGGCCCACAGCCCCACGTCGAGCTGCGTGACCTCCTCCACCACGAGCCAGTCCAGCTCGCAGCGGCCCGCGCGCACGGTGCGCCGCACCCAGTGGTCCGCCGTCTGCGCCCCCAGGCCCAGGTTCTGCACGCTGCAGTGCGTCTTCGAGATGAGCGTGACGTCCTCGCCCTGCGCCGAGAGCTGCGCCACGATCCTCCGCGCCAGGTGCGTCTTCCCCGTGCCCGGCATGCCGGAGAGCAGCAGGCTGCCCCCGTCGAGGCAGTGCGCCACGGGGTCCTCCACGTGCCTCCAGGGCTCCTGCCCAAGGCCGTGTGGCGGCGGCGGCGGCGGCGGCTCCGTCTCCAGCCGCGGCTCTCGGTAGTCTCCCTCCAGTCGCTTCACCTCCTCGAAGCGGTACTTCGGCGTGCCGTCCCGGTGCCGGTGCCGCGTGAGCGCCTCCACGGCGGGCAGGAACTTTTTCGGCAGGCCCTGGCAGACGAGGCAGTCGGTCTTCAGCGCCACCAGGTAGCGGGGAGGCACCTCCCGCAGCGCGCGGCTGATCCTCGCCATCGCCACGTACTCGGAGGCCATCACGAAGTCGTGCGCCGGGCGCGTGGAGCGGTTCGTGAAGAGCTCCGTGGCGTAGACGTGGTCGTAGTGGCAGGCGCCCGCGGCGTCGAAGAACACCTGCAGGAACTGGGAGCCCCAGGCGTCCGCCTCGTGGCTGCTCGTCCTCATGGAGTAGAAGACGTCCTTGGAGCGCGCCCACAGCCCGATGAGGGCGTTCACGCTGAGCTTCGCGAAGTGCTCCTCGCCCTCGGGCCAGGCCCCCTCCATGACCTCCAGCGCCCGCGCCAGGCAGTCGGGCGCCACGTGGGCCGTGGCCTGCAGGGACCACTCGCAGTCCGCCCATCTCGCCAGGCCCGCGTCGAGCATGTAGGCCAGCGCGGGCTTCCCGTACCAGCCCGGGCCGACGTAGGGCAGCCGCGCCAGAAAGCCCTCGCGCTTGTCCTCCCGCTTCCGCACGAAGGTGAGGTCCGCCAGCTGCCCCTCCTCCGCCGGCCGGATGCTGTCCAGGGGGCAGAAAACGGGCAGCGGGAAGGGGGCGTTGGCCAGGGCGTTCTTCCGGCACCGCACCACGTCCACGCCCTGGCACACCTTCTCGGGGTTGCACTTCGACAGGCTTCGACAGGCCGCACACGAGCGGCGGCAGCCGGGGGGAGCAGGCGTAGCTCTCGAAGACGTGGCGGCAGAAGCGGCTCTCCAGGCTCGTGGCGTGGGAGCACTCCAGGAACGTCTTGGCGCGGTGGCACTCCAGGCACAGGGCCTGCAGGTGCTGCCGCTGCCCGAAGAAGGACTGGTGCACCGGCACCACGTGGTCCGCCTCGCAGCTGCCCGCGTCGATGGGCGCGGCGCAGAGCGCGCAGGCTCCCCGCTGCTCCCGCAGCAGCCGCTGCACGTCCCCGCGGTCCCTGCGCGCCTTCAGGAGCGCTGCGAAGACCTCGCTCGCCGCCCCCGCGAGCCGCTGCCCGCGGTAGACGAAGCCCAGCTTGCCCATCCACGCTTCCAGCACCTGTGCGTCCTCGGGATACTCGTGGATGACGCAGTCGCCCCCAGGCACGCGGAGCCGCAGGTAGCGCCACTCCACGAGCCCCCGCAGGACCACCTTGGGCTGGTGGCCCTCCGCGAGCAGGCGGGAGCGCGCGACGCGCAGGTCCTTCGCCCAGTAGTGCCCTGGCTCGAGGGCGCCCTGCCACTCCCGCCACTCGGCGAAGGGCGGCACGGTGGACTCCCGCCGCTCCCCGCGGTAGCTCGGGGTGTCCCGCGGCTCGCCGTCGCACCAGGCCACGGCCCGCGCGCTCTTGTAGAAGTAGGCGTGGTCGCGGTAGATGCACAGCGCCAGGGCCCGCTCCTCCTTCACGGGCGGCTCGTAGCAGTCGATCATTTGCCCTCGGCAGTTCACGATGAACATCGGCGCCTTGCGCCACTCGCAGAACTGCCGGATCTCCTTGCCGGTGACGCCCCTCTGCTCCCAGCCCTGGGGGCAGATCGCGTCGAAGTCCGAGTAGACTCGAAGGGCAGCTGCAGCAGCTCCGCGATTTGGCGCACCACGCAGAGCCTGTCGGCCCGCTCCTCGAAGGCGCTCTCCAGGATCTCCGAGCCCCTGAAGAGCTGGTAGGAGACGTCCCGCAGCGCGCCCAGCGGCTGGCGGAGCGTCACCTCCGTCTCCACCTGGTTGTTCTGCGCCACCTGCATCGTCTGCTTGGAGACGCCCCAGTCCCGCGAGGCGTCGTAATAGTACGTCTCGTCCGAGAGCTCCGTGACGACGTCGCCGTCCGCGGGGTTCCCCATCTTGCGGAGCGCCGCCGCGATGACGTTCCGGTGCTGCTGCACCTCGCTCAGCCCGTCGTTCTGGCGCCCCAGGCCATCCAGAGTCACTGGTAGCAAGTCATCTCTGGAATAGGGCTGCCCGCGGCGCCGCCTCCCGCGGATCCTCACGGGCATGTGGGCGATGAAATCGGTCCATTTGGTTTTGAAGAAGGCCTTGCCCAGCTTCGTGACGCGGTAGCTGCCGTCGGGCTGCAGGCTCCGCACCAGCTTCTTGGCGCCGCCTCTCAACAAAATAAAATCGTTCGGGCCGTCGCGCACAAGCGGCTGCGCCTCGTTGAAGCGCCGGGAGGGCGGGCGCCGCCCGACCAGCTGGTAATAGAACTGCCCGGCGCGGGTGGGCTGCCCGTCCGGCCGGGCGAGCAGCAGCTGCTGGGCGTTGGGGAGGCGCAAGAGCTCCGAGCCCTGCGGCGAGGTGCGCGCGGAGACGCCCGCCTCCACGGCCCGCCGGATTCTCTCGCGCTGCTGTGCCCAAGACATGATTTACTACCCGCCCCTCGGCGGCGGCGGTCGGGCGAACGCGTTTAGAAGGGGCACTGCGGTTTGGGGGGCTCGGCCTGCTGCAGCATCACGTCCGTGACCTCCGCCAGCACGCCGCACTGGGAGCTCATCAGCCAGACCTGGCGCAGCTCCACGTGGACTTTACACAAGCAACCTTGCAGGTCCCACTTCTGCACAGGGAGCTCCTCGCCGTCTGGTCCCCACAGGCGCATCTTGTCGTAGTTCAATTTCAGCTTGAGGAACTCCGTGCCGCGGGTGCTGGTCTTCAGCGCGCTGGCCATCCGCTCCTTCACCTCCTCGGGCTTCAGGGGCTTGCCGAAGATGCGGGAGTCGCGCTGAGAGTGCTCCGACAGCGCCTTGGTCACCAGCTCCTCCGTCTCCCGGAAGAAGGCCCGGGCGGCCTCGTCGGGCTCCAGGCACATGGACACGCGCACCGCCTCGGGGTCGCCGTAGCAGGATGGGTTCCAAATCACTTTGAGCCAGTCGCTCTTCCATGTGGGCACATCGCTGCCGCCCTCCGTGCGCAGCGGGATATAGCGACCTCCCTTGCTGTTGGTCAGAATGTTGCCCAGCAAAATCGTCATGACTTCCCGGTTTTGTATCGAGACAGATAAATGTGCTTGCTCCGCGAACGCACCGAGAGCCCCGTGAGCTTCGGGGAGTTTCTGTGCGTCGCGCTGACGCTGGCTGGCGGCGTCGCCGTGCTGTGGGTCCTCGCAAGACCGTGGGAGGAACCGTGGTCATAAAAAATGCGGCTGCTCGAGCTCTTCTCGGGCACGGGGTCCGTGGGCCGCGCCTTCAAGGCCCGCGGCTGGGAGGTCACGAGCCTCGACCTGAACGCCAAGGCCCGCCCGACCATCTGCTGCAACATCCTCCAGTGGCAGTACAGGGACTACGCTCCCGGCCACTTCGACATGGTGTGGGCGAGCCCCGTGTGCACCGAGTTCTCCATGGCCCTCAGGAACCGCCCCCGCGACCTGCCGGCCGGCGACGCGCTGGTCCTCAAGGCCCTGGAAATAATCGACTACCTCAAGCCCAGGTGGTGGGCCCTCGAGAACCCGGCCACGGGGCTGCTGAAGACGCGCGAGTACATGGCCGGGCTGCCCTTCCACGACGTGACCTACTGCAAGTTCGGCTATTTGTACCGTAAACCCACGAGGATCTGGGGCAACCTGCCCTGGACGCCCTCCCGCGGCGTCTGCAGGAAGGGCGACCGCTGCGAGGCCTTCGACGGCCGAGGGCACCCTGCGAGCGCGCAGCGGGGCTCCCGCAAGGGCTACGAGGGCAGCTTCTCCAGGGACGATCTGTACTCCATTCCTCCCGCCCTCTGCGACGAGATTGCCGGGAGCGTCAGTTAAAATGTGCTGCGGGCTCCACGAGTGCTACCGGGCGCTCTGGGTAAAGAATGGGCAAGGTGCGTCTCTTCAAGACGCCGGAGTACAGCGTCAAGCAGCCGCCCGACCCGGTTGTCTGCAAACCCCCCGCCAACGGGATCCTGTGTGCCCCGTCGGCTTCCGGGAAGACGGTGCTCTTGGTGAGCATGATTTTGGAGCAGTACAGGGGGTGCTTTGAGCGCATCTACATCTTCTCGCCCTCGGTGGAGGTCGACTCCGCCTGGCAGCCCGTCAAGGACTACGTCAGAGACGAGCTGGGCGTGAACACGGACCGGGAGCAGTGCTGGTGGGAGGACTGGGACGAGGGTGCGCTCCGGAAAATTATCGACCAGAAGCGTATCACGCAGAAGTCCAAGGAGCTGGGCCTCAAAAAACTATATCAGGTATTGATAGTTTTGGACGACCATGCCGATAACCCCGCGGTCCACCGCAAGACGGGAGACGGCGTGCTGGACACGCTCTTCATCCGCGGCCGGCACTTCTGCATCAACACCTGGGTGAGCACCCAGAAGCTGCGTCTCATGAGCTCCGCCGTGCGGGTCAACGTCATGTTCTACTGCGTGTTTCGCCTGCGGAACCAGCTGGAGCTGGACGCCCTGGTGGAGGAGCTCTCTGCCATGCTCCCCAAGGAGACCCTCTACGCCATGTACGAGGAGGCCACGCGGGAGCCCTATTCGTTTTGGATGGTGAACCTCCGCGCGCCCAAGGAAGACATGTTTTGGGTGCGCTTCGACCGGAAGTTCCTCCTAAACGGCGATGGGCAGCCTGCTGAGCCAGATGGCGGCCAAGCTGCTGGGCGGGGGCCCGATCTGCGAGACCGAGTGTAACAACCTTCGGTGCTGCACCACCACGCACGGCGTCTACGACCCGAGCCGCTACTGGCCCCCGCCGGAGCGGCCCCGGCAGGTCTCGGAGGAGTCGGCCACCAGCGAGTAGAAGAAAGCTCATGGTGTCTCTGTACGTGGACTCTCGGATGCGTACACAGGGCACGGACTCCGACTTCTCCTTCGACATCGGCGAGAGCGTGCACATCCAGAGCGGGGCCAAGCTGGCCGTCTACAAGGTGCGCATCGCCGACGCCTTCCTGAGTGGGACGTTCCTGTACTGGACGGACACGGTCGCCGACACCCTGCACTACGCCGAGCTCCCCGTGGGCGCGTACACGGGCCCTCGGCTGGCCGCGTGGATCTCCAGCAACTTCGCCGCGGCCACGTACACCGCGGAGACGAACGAGCTGGACGTTAGCTGGGATGGCGTGCGCCTGATCCTCAACGACGCCGAGCTCCGGCAGCACTTCCCGGGCACGGGCTCCTATCCGCCGGGCGCCTCGCCCAGCAAGCCCCTGAGCATCAACCACCTGCTCGGCCCCAGTTACATCACGGGCTCCGTGCAGCGCTTCGTGTTCGTCCAGATGAACGTGTACAGTGAATTGTATCTTAGGTGCCCGTCGCTGGCCAACGGCGAGACCACGGTGGGTCCGCTGGGTCACGACATCCTCTGCAAGATCGTCGTCTCCAAGGGCGTGGGCCACATCATGGAGACCGAGACCTCGGAGGGCCACTGGGTTCAGCTCCACGGGCCCATCACGCTGCGCCACCTGCGCTTCAAGCTCACCGACTACCAAGGCAACGTGGTGAACACCAGGGGCACCAG